TAGCAAAAAATAAAATCTTCCATGGACTCAACATGCAGCAAACATCTCAGCAAATTCCTTGGGGTGTCTACTTTACAAAAAGTGATCATTTGGGGATGGAGGGTTGTACTGCACTGGCACTTTAGCACCTCAAGAAATGCGAGACAGTCAGAAAGTAAAAGCTGCGTCAATTCCAATATATAGTGTACACCATAGTTTGTAGACGCTATACCTTTCACACAAACAAATTGATATACACGTATTGTGATTTTCTTTCGTTATGGTGTTTTTTTTCATTTTTATCACAAAAAATGAAAAAACCCAATGGTGATCAAATACCACTAAAAGAAAAGAAATCTATTTGTGTGAAAAAAAGGACATTTTGTTTGGGTACAGCATGACCACGCACTTACCAGTTGAACTAGCGCAGTGCAGAATAGAAAAATATGGCTTAGTCATTAAGGGGGGGGGGGTACATCTTCCAAAGGGCAAGTGGTTAAACAAAAGATAATTTTTTTTTTTTTTTAACTTTTACTTTTAAAGGTAAAGGAGACATTTGGGGTCTTTTTTCTTAAAAAGGACCTGCCATGTTTTTTTTCTATAATAGGAATACAAGTGATTTAAAAAAATAATAATAAAGGCACAGTGTAAAAAATAAATAAATAAGAAAAAAAATTAAAGCACCTCTATGTCTCTTCGCTTGCGCGCAGAAGCGAACGCGTATGTAAATTGCAAACATAAATGGTAAACGGTGTTCACAGCACACATGGGAGGTATTACATAATATTAGAGCAAGAGCAATAATGTTCGCACTAGACCTCCTCTGTAACTCTAAACAGGTATCCTGTAAAAAATGTTAAAGTGCCACCTATGGAAATTTTCAAGTACCATAGTTTGTTGCCATTCCACAGGCGTGTAAAATTTTAAAGCAGGACTTGTTAGGTATCTATTTACTCACCGTAACATATTCTTTCATATTTTACAAAAAAAATGTTGTATATATTGTGTTTCTTTAATTCATTAAATGTATTTTTCCCAAAAAATTGTGCTTGAAAAACCGCTGTGTAAATACCATATGACATAAAATTTGCAACAATCACCATTTCATTTTCTAGGATCTTTGCTAAAAATAAATAAATATATATATATATATATATATATATATATACATGTGTATATATAATGTTTGGGGGTTACAAGTAATTTTCTAGCAAAAATACTTATTTAAACTTGTAAACAAAACGTGTCAGGAAATGTTTGGTCTTCCTGCGGCTAGAAAACTTATTTTTTCACATCTTTATCAACTTTAGATTCAAACTTTACATTTTTCAAATGGTATTCAGGGTATTTCTAAAAACAAATGACCAAATAAAGGCCCATACATGTGTTGAAAAAATGGTGCCAAAATCATGTTGGTATACTAAGCAGTTAAGCTATCCAGATACTGTTTGAATTTTTCTGGAACTTGGCAAAATTCTCTCAGCAGATGGCCCTATTGGCCACCTCCTACCTGATATCCCTCAATTGAAACATTGAAGGAACCAGGCAGAAACTGTTTGGAATCCAATCAGATGAATCTACAGTCCAGTCTTTTGACAACCGACAGAGCAGGATATCAAACTAGAATGGCCTTAGTGGAAGCTTTGTCCATCAGAGCTACATAGCACCCACTATACAGTGTATGGACAGCTTTAGAGAGCTATTGTTGAGAAATCAGTTTATACCAAACCTCAGAATTCGGTCTGATAATGAAGGATTTATTACCCTGGTACTTAAAAGAAGAAAATGGCCATGTACTGTAGATAGTCTTCATTTTTATGTGTATTTTTCTGGACTCTGTATATTCAGCAGATTTTAATTTTCTTTAGTTAAGTAATGTTGATGGCAGATTTGAGGTCACATTTGACTTCTGAGATCCATTTGTGTTGCTGGAAACACTGTTCACATATGACCTTTCAAATGCCTGTAGCTGAAAGCCTGAAAATCCACAAGCTAATTTTGAGGCAGATTTGGGACCCATTGTCTTCAGTGGGAATGCCTGAAAATGCTTGACTTGAGTGCTTCCAAGTTATTTTCCAGCCATTTCCAAAAAACACTCAATAATGCTCAAATAAAATGCTTGAAAATGTCTTAAAATTGCTCTGTTCAGGTGTGAATGCAGCCTTGTACTCTAAATGCAGAGGGTTTGTCTTCCGTGGATCCTTCAAAGCTCAAAAAAAAAAATCAAAGGGACACTTAAACATTTACCAACTTGACAGAGACTCTATTGGGTTGATTTCCTAAAACTGCAGAATGCAAAAATCTGGTGCAGCTGTGCATGAAATGCCAATCAGCTTCTAACTTCAGCTTTTTCAATTAAGCTTTGACAAAACAAAAATCAACTGGAAACGGAATGGTTACTATGCACAGCTGCACCAGATTTTTCACTCTCTAGTTTTAGAAAATCAAACCCTATACCTAGGGATATAATGAAAACAACCAAATGTTTGCGTATAGGACTTAACATATTCCCATGCAAACCTTAATTTTATGTAACAGATGTTGTAGGTGTGTGTGGAAGATGAAACATTCCATACATCTTAGTGCCGGACTGGCATTCGGACAGATGTGGACTCCTGGGCAGGTTACTTTCCCTTACCTCTCTTCCCCCCCGTTTCTTCCTGTACTTGCTTTCTTATCCCTATATTTGTATTGTTGTACTCAGTTGTACAAGTTGTACTCACTTTTTTCCCTTATCAGTTTCATATTGTGTAACATGGTGTTTATACAAATATTGTTCTTTTAGAAGGGTCATATACTCAAATATCCAAGGCTAGGGTAACCCATATGTCTCCAAGTCCTTCTGCATTTTACCATAGATACCCTTCCCAACTTATACTAATTAAGAAATAACCAAAGACCCAATCTGGAGAAAATTGGCCAGCTTGGCCGTTTAATAACAAATACACAAAAATAACATTCCTTAAAACAGAAAACATATTCATAAACCAATTGCCATGACATACAGGTTGCAGGTCTTGGGAGGCACTTGAGAACTAACATCAGGTTGTGTATCTGCGTTACTACTTCACGTTCCCCAGCCACAAAACATTAGCTCAGGGTCAAAATCACTTCTCTGCAGATACCAACTTGTTACTACATCCCAGATAATACCCCAATAACTGGAATCCAACATAGGATGCCATACCTTAGATGGGTCACTGCTATGAACTGTTCCAAAAATGTTAACGCCTCCAAAGGCCCCAACCTCCAAAGGCCCTAGAGCCCGAACAAAAAAGCACAACAGCAGTGCGGGAAGATTTCTTCACATTCTCTGCTTCCAAGGATTTTGCTAATCGTTGGGGCACCTCCTTATGTACCCCCAGCGGCTGCACCTACTCTCCGCAAACTCCCAGTCTGGTAAGTGACCACCTTTCTGACCAACTATAACTTAACCCTGTCCCCTTTTTCATGTAGCCCTTCACCTATTTTTTTTTTTTTTTGCTTTGGGCTTATCTTGACCTACTGAGTCTCCCAACTTCCTCTCCTTCTTCCGAAACAGAAGAGTGATTGTGTATTGTATATAAGTTTGGTTATACAGGTACATATCCATGCAGGGGTGGACTGACAACTCATGGGGCCCCCGGGCAATAGGGGATCATGGGGCCCCTGTGTCCTTGCCCAAACTCAAAAAAGCCTATGAAAAAGGTACCAGGGGCATCTCATGGGGCCCCCTACTGACCCCGGGCCCTCGGGCGGTACCCGAGTTTCCAAATGGTCAGTCCGCCCCTGTATCCATGAGATTTTTCTATAAGTCTCCCTTTATTATTGACCCCAGACGGGGTTACAACTATGAATGACAACTAACATTAGATCTGAATTTCAAGAGCATTATGTCTGATATAACTGTGTATTGATGGACACTTGGCTGCTAAGCACTTTTTTGAATGTTTTATACCTAATTGTTATTGTTTTTTTTTTGTACACCTGTACACTTTGCTACCAGGAACTATTGTATTTTCTTCTTTTGGTGAAAAACAATAAAAAACAATAAAAATAGAAATATTTCATGCACTTACAACTTCTGTTTCAAATAACATTTGGCTCGATTCTGATGGAAATTCAGGGTTGCATGAGGGCATGTTAGGTTCTCCATTAAGATTTTTCTTTTTGTTTGCTCCACAAAAAGAAGAAAAAGTAATCCAGTCAGTATCCACCAAATTGCTAGACCTCAACTTATACTAGGCTATGTTTCACTACAGTTTATTGTATATCACATCACACTGTACCAGCTATAACTCAGAAACACCATACTGTACTGAAACACTTTTTTTGAGATGTACATAGTATACTTGTATCACTCAATACAAAAAATAAATGGATGAAAAAAGTAACATTACAGCACAATTGGCTCTTATCTAAATTGGCCCCATTATGTGTATGTTTGCTTGTGGGATAGGGACCTTAGATTGGAACCTTGAGGACAGGGACTGATGTGTTGAATGTATAATATATGTAAAGGGCTGCGTAATTTGTGGAAGATGTAAACATGCCTGTAATAAAACAAATAAATTTAAAGCAGTAGTAAACCATAGCTGAAAAAAATACGTAAATAAATAAAATCCCTTGCAAGGCAATGTCATAATGTGCTAGTATGCATCACGTACTAGCAAATTATGAAGGACTTACCTTAAAACGAAGCCCTCTAGCGGCACGCTGTCACTGCTGCAGAGGCTTCCATCTTCAAAGGGTCTTCGTGAGCTCCAGATGTCTGTTGGCCAAGTCACAATGACACCACTCCCATACGGGAGTCCTGATCCATGGTACAATGTCCTGAAGGAACGCCATGGGTATGCCATTCCTTCAAAGCACATGCACTGGTGCTCAAAAAGAACAAATATCTCCTAAATGGTGCACGTTTAGGAGATATTTATTTTACCTACAGGTAAGCTTTATTATAAGTCTACCTGTAGGCACAAGTAAAAAAAAGAAGAGTTTTATATCACTTTAAATCACACGTTTTAATATTCTATCTTCAGATTATGAAGAATAAGAATGTGACCAGGATCTCCACAATCCACCTCCTAGGATTTCAGACTCCGGACAATGTTACATTTTTGGTGTTTTTTATTTTCCTTATAACTTATTGTGTTACTGTAATGGGAAACCTCCTGATTATCTCACTGGTGTCCTACAGCAAAACCCTCCATTCTCCCATGTACTTCTTCCTCTCCCAGCTCGCTGTGTCGGATATCTTGCTGGCCACTGACATCCTTCCAAAAACAATCCAAGCAGTTTTGATGAAAGATACGGTGATATTATTTTCTGATTGCATCTCCCAGTTTTATTTCTTTTGTGCTGCAGAAATGTTGGATAGCCTTTTTCTGACTGTGATGTCCTATGACCGATATGTGGCCATCTGTAAACCATTGCATTATAGTTTCATAATGAACCACCGATGTTGCTGTATAGTGGTCATTACCCTTTGGACTTTGACCTTTTTAATTTTGCTGGTACATCCTTTTTCCTTATGTAGGTTACAATTTTGTGGTCCCAACATTGTTGACCACTTTTTCTGTGACCTGGATCCAATTCTAAAGCTTTCCTGCTCTGATACAACCATTGTTCAACTACAAATAACATTGTTAAGTGTTTTCCTTGTTGTCATCCCATTTATTATCATTATTGTATCCTATGTTTTATATTATAATCACCATTCTTAAAATTCCAACTATTACTGGAAGAAAACAAGTATTTTCAACATGCAGCTCCCACCTAGCTGTTTGTCTCTATCAATTTTGGATCACCGGCTTGTGTTTATTTGGTGCCTAGTAGGGGGTCATCTTGGAATATAACAAAATATTTAGCATTATTGTACACAGTAGTTTGTCCACTGATGAATCCATTTATATACACTTTAAGGAATAAAGATCTGAAAAAAGTTGTTAAAATTGCTTTTAACAAACTTGTCAATGTGCATTCCATTAGAGATTAAAGGGTAAGCTCACCTTTTGTTAAAATAAATAAATACACATATTTTTTTCAAGTAAAAAATGTGCATTTATTATTTTTTTTTACAATGCAGCCTGTAAGGCATTGCACTTGTAATCAGTAAATCACGGGTGCAATGCCAGGCTCCTGCAGACTCTCAGTCAACTGTCTGCCTGTACTTCTCATATGGGCAGACAGTTACTGAACTTCAGGAAGAACCAATGAGTTATGAGAGTGCTCACTAGTGCCCTCATAGTTCATTGAGAACTATAAGTCATCTGTCGCAGTGGCAGATGGTTCTTGTAACCCTGTTTAACAACAGAGAACAGACCAGACGCGATTTTTCTTGCGCTCTAGGACCCAGGCGGGTGGCAAATGGATGGAACCAGAACTGGAAAAAAGCGACCACCAGTGCATAAAAGGTTGTGCAGCTCCAAACAAGGCTGGGGAAGCCTGACCAATACTGCAAAGAGCTCTGATGAAGAAGGTATGGCCTTCGAAACGCGTCAACTGTACTGAGTGTCTACCCCCATGATGGGATTCGCACTGGCTCCTTATCTTTGAAGTCCCTTTGAGGACTCACATGCCTGATTTTATTCGCTGTTTGGCAGTACCATTTTCTAATTAATAAATTTTGGTGACTGAGGTAATGCGCAAGGTTTGGTGCGCTTCTCGTTTTTGTTTCACTTAACAACAGAGAACACCATTCAAGCCCACAAGCCTGGTAGTCCACTACATGCAGGTGTCATCATCTAAGGTGCTCATCTAAGGTGCTTATCCAAGCCCACTGTATAAAGCTGAGTATAAGAGACACCACACTCCTGGGCTCCTCTCAAGCCACTCCCCACCAGGAGGAAGCTTGGAATGAACCCAGGCCGAAGCTGCTTTTGGACTTAATGTAATATTCGGGCTGTCAGGAGTGTGGCATCTCTTATATTCAGCGTTAGATGGTACTTGTAGTTAACCTCTTGCCAGCCACTTCACATAGGAGTGTGGAGGCACAGTTGCTCTCCTGCGTTGGATCACATATCTAATACATGATCCAGCTCTTCTGGGTAAGGGGCGTGCACGCAACCGCCCGCTATGCCGGCTGTGCTGTCATTAGTTACAGCACAAGCCAATCAGCAGGTCCCAGCCAATGATTGCCAGATGGGACCCACTGATCAGCGAAGAGAAAGACAGGACAGAGATCTGTGAGTGTAAACAACACACTCTGCCACGAAAGTGTGATGTGCCAGTTTTTGTTTCCCTGCAAAGCAGGGGCTTAAAACTGGCACATCCCTTAGTAAAAGCAGAACACAGTGTATGCACCAAGCACTATTAGGCACACAGTTAACCCTTTGATTGCCCCTATATATTAACCTCTGCCCAGCCAGTGTCATTAGTACAGTGCCAGTGTACAGTTGCAAGAAAAAGTATGTGAACCCCTTGGGATTACGTGGAGTTTTGCATGAATTGGGCATAAAATGTGCTCTGAGCGTCATCTAAGTCACAACAATAGAAGAACACAGTCTGCTGAACATAATACTACACAAACATTAGATGTTGCCATGGTTTAATTGCACATAACATGTAAACATTCACAGTGCAGGGAGAAAAAAGTATGTGAACCTTTGGACTTAATAACTGGTTGACCCTCCTTTGGCAGCAATAACCTCAACCAAACGTTTCCTGTAGTTGCAGATCAGACCTGCACAATGATCTGGAGTCATTTTGGACCACTCCTCTTCACAAAACTGTTTCAGTGTAGCAATATTCTTGGGATGTCTGGTGTGAATCGCTCTCTTAAGGTCATGCCACAGCATTTCAATCGGGTTGAGGTCAGGACACTGACTAGGCCACTCCAGAAGGCGTATTCTGTGCTGTTGCAGCCATTGTTTTGTTGAATTACTGGTATGCTTTGGGTCATTGTCCTGTTGCATCACCCATCCTCTGCGGAGCTTCAGTTGGCGGACAGATGGTCGTACGTTTTCCTGCAAAATGTCTTGATAAACTCTGGAATTCATTTTCCCATCAATGACAACAATCCGTCCAGGCCCTGAGGCAGCAAAGCAGCCCCAAACCATGATGCTCCCTCCGCCATGTTTTACAGTGGGGATGAGGTTTTGATGTTGGTGTGCTGTGCCTTTTTTTCTCCACACATAGTGTTGTGTGTTTTTCCCAAACAACTCAATCTTGGTTTCATCTGTCCACAGTATATTTTGCCAGTAGTGCTGTGGAACATCCAGGTGCTCTTTTGCAAACTTCAAACGTGCTGCAATATTCTTTTTGGACAGCAATGGCTTCCTCCGTGGTGTCCTCCCATGTACTCCATTCTTGTTTAATGTTTTCCTTATTGTAGATGTGTCAACAAAAATGTTAGCATGTGCCAGAGATTTCTGTAGGTCTTTAGCTGACACTCTGGGATTCTTCTTTACCTCATGCAGCATTCTGCGCTGTGCTCTTGCAGTCATTTTTACAGGACGACCACACCTAGGGAGAGTAGCAACAGTGCTAAACTTTCTCCATTTGTAGACAGTCTGTCTTACCATGGACACATGAACATCAAGGCTTTTGGAGATACTTTTGTAACCCTTTCCAGCTTCATGTAAGTCAACAATTCTTGATCGTAGGTCTTCTGAGAGCTCTTTTCTGCGAGGCATGGTTCACATCAGACAGTGCTTCTTGAAACCAGTAAACCAAAAAACAGGTGTGTGTTTTTTAAGGGCAGGACAGCTGTCAGCAACACATCCAATATCATCACACTGATTGGAGTCAAGGTTGGCTCACTCCTGGCTCCAATTAGCTCTGGGAGAAGTCATTAAGCTAGGGCCTCACATACTTTTTCCTCCCTGCACTGTGAATGTTTACATGTTATGTGCAATTAAACCATGGCAACATCTAATGTTTGTGTAGTATTATGTTCAGCAGACTGTGTTCTTCTATTTTTGTGACTTAGATGACGTTCAGAGCACATTTTATGCCCAATTCATGCAAAACTCCACGTAATCCCAAGGGGTTCACATACTTTTTCTTGCAACTGTACATTATTATCACTGATCAGTGTATTAGTGTCCCTGGTTCCCACAAAGTGTAAAAAGTGTCAAAAGTCAGTAAGCATCAGACTGCCCGCCATACTATTGCAATCCGGCTATAAGTCGCTGATCACCACCATTACTAGTATAAAAATAAATAAAAATTACAGTATATATGCCATAGTTTGTAGACGCTATAACGTTTGCGCAAACCATTCAATATACACGTATTGTGATTTTTTTTTTTTTTACCAAAATATGTAGCAGAATACATTTTGGCCTTGATTTATGAAGAAATGTGTTTTTAATTTTTTTTATTGGATATGTTTTATTGCATAAAGTAAAAATTATTGGGTTGTTTCAACATCTTTGGACTTCTTTAATTTATAGCACAAAAAATAGAAAATAAAACAGTGGTGATCAAATACCGCCAAAAGAAAGAAAAATGATATAAATTTAATTTTGGTACAGCGTTGCATGATCGAGCAATTGACATAGCCAACTGTTGGAGGGGTTTGTTTGCTTTTTTTAAAGAAGCTGGCAATAAAATGTCATTTGCCAGCAATTTTAAACACTTTTCTCTTTGTAAATGTAGTGCTACTGCAACAATTTCTTTACATCACAGAGATGCAGCCCTTCAAAGGCAGGATTAGGGCACTTCTAGGCAGAGGTATATTTACCACAAGGCAAACAAGGCATTAGCCTAGGGCGGCATTTTTCAAGGGGGCAGAAGCATTTTTCAGGTAACACTGCCCCCCGAAAGAAGGGATGGAAGAAGGGACACACGCAGCATGGGGACCAAGTGGGATCTGAGAGAGGCTGCGGGCTGCTTGATGGTGTATGCAGAGCCCGACTCTTGTTATTGGGGATGTCGGGAGCTATGAAGGTGAGTGTCTTCTCTCTTGCCACGGTGCGGGGGGTTGCCAGTGTATGGGGGGTAGTGGTAGTGGAAGGCTTTCTCGGGTGGGGGTGGGGTGTTGTTGGTCAATGTCAGGCTCTCTTCATGGGGGGAGGGGGGTGTTGGTCAGTGTTAGGGTCTCTCCATGGAAGTGGGGGTGAGCCGATTTTTGTGTTGCCTAGTGCAACACGAAACCTAAATACACCACTGACTCCAGGCATATCATTCAAAGGAAATTGGCATTTTAAATCATTTTCAATGTTTCACGTGAAGCATTTGAATAATCATTGCTCCTGGAGAAACGAAAACCTAAATAAATAAACAATCCATACATATTCCCTTGGGCAGTGTCTACCCCTCCATGCTATTTTTGATGCTGCCTTTCCCGTTAGCTCAGTAAGTGGGTGTTTTTATTTGACAGATTTGACTCTCATAGATTTTTGGTATTGGCATCTGATCTTCTTCAATAGTAGCTGAATAAAGCTTGAACTGAACCCTGGATTTCCACACCCATTTAGATATAATTTGGATAATTTGGATTTTAGTAGAAAGCTTGATTGTGAATTTATATCTACAAAATGGTTGATTAAATGTATTGAACTTCCAGAGGAATTATCATGATATGAAAACCACATAAGAACCTATGTGGTACATTTTTTTTTGTACTATTTGGGCTGTTCCCAAACCCCCCGGACTGTCCAAGTTGTTTTAGTCCCGGGGGCCAGGGTGTCGCTCTCAGTTATCCCTTTTTTTTTCTTTTTCTTTTACTCACTCCGGCTTTCATATTTCTTTTTTCCCTCTGTGTGACTTCTTCCCTTCC